AAACCCTGTCTCTACTAAAATACAAAAAATTAGCTGGGTATGGTGGCAGGTGCCTGTAATCCCAGCTACTCAGGAGGCTGAGGCACGAGAATTGCTTGAATCGGGAGGCGGAGGTTGCAGTGAGCTGAGATCATGCTGTTGCACTCCAGCCTGGGCGACAGAGTGAGACTCCATCTCAAAAAGGGAAAAAAAAAGGCCACATGGACTCAACATCAAATAGAGCTCATCTCCCTGGAACCTTTGCCACATCTGCTCTCACAGTTCATGTCACTTGTGACTTCTGTTTTTCAGGTTTGGGCAAAACTACCCCTGACCCTTCAGCTAGTATTAGTCTGGATGGTGTAGAGGTTCCTCTTGGGACCGGGATTTCATCTGGTGTGAATGACACCTGTCTACTATATAACGAGTATCCTTTCTTGAGTATGCTGTGTGAGCACAAAGGGATGTTCTCGAGCTACAGAGTCACTTACATGCTGTCAGATGACCCAGGGCAGAGAAGGATTAGAGGCTGTCCTGTAGTCTGTCCCATGGTGACTGTTTCCCTTCCGTGGTCCCTCCCTGTGCATAGCCTGGCTAACAAGGTATGAGCCTTCCCCCAGTTTCCAGAGGATGATCTCCTCTCCTCAGTCTGCCTGAAGAAGACTTAGAGTGACTTTCAGGCTGGCACTGAGCGTCCCGCCAGCCTGGGGGAGATGAGGCACATGTACCCTCTGTTGTATGACCGTTGGCTCCTTAACAAGCTTCCCCTCAGGTACATTGTCTACGATATTGCTCAGGTAAATCTGAAGTATCTGCTGAAACTGAAATTCAATTTTAAGACCTCCCTGTGGTAATTGGGAGAGGTGGCCGACTCACACCCGGTGGCTCTGGTATGAATTCACCTGAAGCGCTTCTGCACCAACTCACCTGGCCGACTAAGTTGCGCATGGATAGTGCCTGTACTAAACCACCTCAGAAAGGATTTTACAGAAATGCGTTAAAGGTTTTCTCCAACTTTTCAAGTCCCTTGTTTTGTGTTGTGTTTGTGGGGAGGGGTTGTTTGGGGGTTGTTTTTGTTTTTTCTTGCCAGGTAGATAAAACTGACATAGAGAAAAGGCTGGAGAGAGATTCTGTTTTGCATAGACTAGTCCTGTGGAAAAAAACCAAGCTTCGTTAGAACGTCTGCCTTACTGGTTTCCCCAGGGAAGGAAAAATACGTTTCCACTCTCTTTTCTAAGTGTTCGTCTTTAGTTTCGATTTTGGAAAGATGTTAAGCATTTTATTTTTAGTTAAAAATAAAAACTAATTTCATACTATTTAGATTTTCTTTTTTATCTTGCACTTATTGTCCACTTTTTATTTTGTTTGCCTCTTTGTGAGGGGTGTGGGAAGACCAAAGGAAGGAACGCTAACAATTTCTCATACTTAGAAACAAAAAGAGCTTTCCTTCTCTAGGAATACTTGAACATGGGAGCTCTTGAAATACGTAGTGTTAAAAGTTTCATTTGAAATTCTTGACTTTCTTATGGGCACTTTTGTCTTCCAAATTAAAACTCTACCGCCAATATACTTATCCAAGGGCTAATAGTAATACTCGATTAAAAATGCAGATGCCTTCTCTATTTGTGTATTGCGTGTCTGCTCTCATTCTGACTACAGATATGGTTAATCTTCACAGTGCAAGGTCCCAAGAGACTTTGGGGGGATTGTTTCTACCCATATCTGTGAAACCCCAGAACGTGCCAGGCAACAAACAGCATTGCTCAATGGGAATGCCCCACCTAAGGGGCAGAAAAACAAGCACCAGGCATAGGAAGACACTTTTTTTTTTTTTTTCCAACTTATCAGATGCATTGTGGTGATCAACTCATCCTGCTCTCCGGAGGACTGCCTTTCATACACCACATTGCCTCATACAACTACTCTACATTTGAGAATCATACTTAAAGGTTTACATTTCAATTGCCTGAAAGCCAGGGCCAGTGTCTTATGTCACTTCTGACCTTTTACAGAAGGGGACAAGTGAGGTAGTAGCTCACACCTGTAATCCCAGTGCTTTGGGAGGCTGAGGTGGGAGGATCATTTGAGGCCAGGAGTTCAAGACCAGCACCTTTGACCTGGAGACCCTCTCTCCTGATTATCCAGCAATCCAGGCTCTTGGGCTCCTGGGCTTCTGAGTATTCTGCACTCTACCTTTTTTTTTTTTTTTTTTTTTTGTTAATCAGCACAGAGAAAAGCAATTACCCTCACAATACCTGATTAAACAAAGTATTTTTAGGTTGGAGTGATTACTTAATGGGTTCCCTGTAATCAAAACTGGTTTCTTTTTTTAAGGAAGATTTCACATTTTTCAATCTATTTTCCTTTCAAAAGAGAGAAATTAGCATTTTATGTTTTAGTTTACACATTCTGCTTTTCTCTGTTCGCTTTTAAAAAATTCAAGTCCTGGCCAGGTGCAGTGGCTCATGCCTGTAATCCCAACACTTTGGGTGGCCAAGGTGGGCCAATCACGAGGTCAGGAGATGGAGACCGTCTTGGCCAACATGATGAAATTCCATCTCCACTAAAAATACAAAAATTAGCTGGACATGGTGTCCACCTGTAATCCCAGCTACACAGGAGGCTGAGACAGGAGAATCGTTTGAACCCAGGAGTCAGAGGTTGCAGTGAGCTGAGATCACGTGTGGTGACAGAGCAAGACTCCGACTCAAAAAAAAAAAGAAAAAATTCAAGTCCTATCTCAGGGTAGCAGCTAAAATGTGAGAATTTAATTTAAAAATTAAAGCCAACCTTGCATAGAAACTCAGGGTGCTCCATGAGAGAAGCGAGAGGAACTGCCCTCTGCCCCTCCTGATGAGCTGCCCTCCTCCTGCCTTTGTGCCTGGAAGTGCCCTTGGCCAGCAGTAGTTGCCCAAGGCATTACTAGGCTGACATTTCAGAGCACACTGTTCCACGGCGGTGCATGCATACATCTATAAAAGATGCACTACGTACACAGTAGTGTTTTAGCCAATGTGCTAGCCAATGAATTCTGCATCGGTGGTTATCTCTTGGCTACACAAGAGATGGAGAACCATTCCTTCAGCATCCCAGAGCACTAAGGCAAAGCTGCTGTAGAATGATTTGCCGGGAACTTTGCCTTAGGGCAAACCTCAAGTACTGCTTTTAGGAATGAAATCTAATTGGTAGCCTTGCCCCTGGTGCGTGCATAGTATGTACTCAGCTTAACTGTTTACACCAAAAGCCTGGAAGTTGTGCTTTGTCCTTTGGCCTTCAGAAACCTTGTATCTTAACTGTTAAGATCTGCACATTGGGAATCATTCACCTCTGACCTGTTGGGCTGGTTTTATTCCACTCTATAAAGTACACCCAGGTGCCTTAGGAGTTCACATTTCTCAATGGTGTCATTGCCTTTCCCTTAAATTCTGTTTTGACTCCTCAGAGATTGGTGGTTGCTTTTCTTTGAGGCATAGTGTTTCCACCATTTCATAAGGCAGGGCCTTCCAAATTGAGTCTAATTTGGGGCCATGGGGGTTTAGGGAAGTCTGGTACAGTGCTTAGCAGCATCCCACTGCCCCTCACTTCTGCCATTCAGCCTCGGCGTGGAAGGTTAGACGGCAGCTTCCCTTTGGCATGTGCCAAATACGCCCATTTGTGTGGTTTAAGAGGTCAGTGTTGGTTTTCTGATTTCTCTTTACTTTTCCCTAGAGTAGGTCATCTAGGTTATAAGAAGATATATTTTAGAGACTTCAAAAGTAAAGAAAACGTGGCCTGTAAACATCTTCCTCCTCAGCGAAATTAACCCGTACGTGAAAAATGTTGCCCGTATGTGAAAAATGTTGCCCGCTGGACTAGGGAACAGTGCTGGTGATAGAGACAGCTGGTGTGTGTCCTGTGGGTCATGTGGACTCACAGCACTCAATGCCACCCACCACTGTGGCATTCTGTATAGCTTTGCTTCTGATCAGCGACCTCATTCTGCAGCAGAGTTCAGCGTCGGGCTTGCACTTAGGAATTAACTGGTTTTGCCACATGCCCCATCACCCAGAAATGGCCTAAATGAAGAGTAGAATGGCTCGTGATGGTGCCAGTTGTGAGACAACATCCTGAAAGGATAGGATTTGATCTTATGGATGCAGTAGAGTGTTGAAATCAGAGACCAACCTGGTGTCTCCCCCTAGCCAAAGCACATGGGTCTGGGAACCAGTCGGTGAAGTGGGAGTAGTTCCTCTTGCTGTTACCACATCTGATACCCCACTCACAGGGCTTGTGTTTGGAGGTCTTAGTCCATAAGGGAGAGATGCTTCTAGGGGACACAATTATGGTTTCATTGACTTGGAAGATGAGGCTACCACTTGGCTGTTTGGGGCTCCTCCTTGTACCACCGAAGCAATGTGCGGAGGAGAGGGGTGACCTTACTGGCAGGAGTGAGTGATTCTCATTACCAAGGGGAAAGTGGGATGCTGCACAGGGAGACAAGCAGGACTATGTCTAGAGTCCAGTAGATTCTCAGGAGGTCTTTAGTGCCACCATGTCCAGTGGTAAAGGCAAGGGGAAGTACAGCAACTAAAAACACTGCAACTCCAAAAAATGACAGCACTGTGGAAAATTCAGACCCTTGAGGAATGAAGGCTTGGGTCACTTTAGTCAACTGAGGTTCTGGCTGAGGGCAAAGGAAATAAGGAATGGGTACCAAAAGGAAAGTCACAGATGTCAACTATAGCTTCATGACCAATTACAGAAAAAAAAAGACCAAAGCAGCCAGTTAGAGGGGCAGAAACATTGCAGGTTTTGGATTTTGCTTTTTTGTTGTTGTGGTTTTTTTTTGTTTTTTTGTTTTTTGGGGGTTGAGACAGAGTTTCACTCTGTTGCCCAGGCCAAATTGGAGTACAGTGGTGCAATCTCGGCTCACTGCAACCTGCGTCTCCCCGGTTCAGGGAATTCTCCCGCCTCAGCCTCCCTAGTAGCTGAGATTACAGGCATGCTCCACCACGCCCGGCAAATTTTCCTATTTTTAGTAGAAGTGGGATTTCACCATGTTGGCCAGGCTGGTCTCAGACTCTTGGCCTCAAGTGATCCGCCCACCTCAGCCTCTCAAAGTGCTGGAATTATAGGCATGAGCCACTCCGCCCAACCGAGACGCTGCAGTTTTAAGCCACAGAACAAGTCTAGCCGGAGTGTAGGGCTTCTGATGATGAGTTATAATGGCTCTACGTACAGTCAAATTGAGTTCTTTCTTATAGGGTACCTATAAATGTGTACGTCACATTTGTACCGCTAAATGTCTTGCCCTTTAGTTCAATGGATTCTGGATTCTGAGGATACTCTTGGTCCTTTCCAGAGATGAAGTAAGGCAGGGGTCAGGGCCTACAGGAGGGAATCCCTATATTCTTGGGGTTGTCTGAGCCAGGGCTCATGCCTGTCTGGTGCTTTCAACCAAACCTCTTTCTCATGGACTCTGTAAAAGGAACAGGCCATTCTGAATCCCCCAGATCTTGTACCTCCCTCTTAGAATTGTCTTGAGAGTGTGTGTGCTGATTCCCCGGAAGGACTTCGTGTTGTTCCTGACCTCTAATAAGTGCTCCATAAATCTTAGCCATTGTTGCTAAAATCCCGGAGTGGTTTTGCTTAAGTCTGAATCCAAAAAGGAAGCTCCAGGTAAGAGGAGAAACTAGAGAACAAGACACAGACCATCCTGTGCTTTTTCTATGCTGTGAAACCATCACCATGACACTGGCCTTCCCTCTCAGTGTGGCCTCCCCTCAGTGTGGCCTCATCCGCCATGTCCCTGCCTGTGGTCCCCTTAACTGTGAAGTGTCCAGCCTCTCCGGCACTTACTCCCAGGCCCAGCTCCACTTCAGGCAGGCCTGCTGGGGCTCAGAATAGCCCAGCTGCTGTCTCAGCAGATGGCCAGGCTAATTTTAGCCATGTGATACCCAGGGACCAGGCTGGGCTTTTTAGATTTGAATAAGCCAGTGTACAACTTTGGTTTAGAGCCAATAACAAAGTTTGGAGTTGTGATCTCTGTGTCTGCCTAGCACTTTATAAGATTCCAGAAATACAATTTTAAAGGATTTGTTTCTGTGAACCAACAAGAACCCCAGCTATGGAGCCAGCAGGCAGTCAAGCCAGCAGGGTGTTGATGGAGGGTGGTAAGAAGCAGATGGTGGCACCAACTCCTGCCTCTTCTCCCTGATGACAGGCGGGTGGCAGGGTCTCAGTATCCTGGGTGCACTGTGCTCTCACTGCTCCCCTGGCCAAAGTGAAAGAAGGCAGCAGCCAACTCAGCCTCCTGGAACATCCTCTGAACCACTCGTGGGTGGCAGGCTACATCTTCATGCTGTGGAACGACTGTGGTTGGGAAGAAATCAGCCAGATGCCAGCAAGAACCTACTTTGGCACTTTCATGTGCAGTCCCTCGTGAACCTAATGTGAAGCAGGCAGATGTGGAAACAGGCTCAGAGATGTAAGAGGTCCCAACAGAGGCTGAGACAGCCAGGTTAAGAACGTGTCTTTTCCATTGTGAGGTTTCTTCCTCATTATTCTTCATATGTGAAGACTGCCTTTCATCTCAGTTCTCCCAAAGAGTTCAGGGACAACACAAAGTGGCTTGGAGAAGT